AGTACAGGAGAGCTGGGACTGGTGAAAGGGGGTGAATTTTAGCTGGTATATTCAATTGCCAGCATCTCCTTTTTGCACTTAAGGATTTTTAACTCCTGTGCAGTTACAGCTGTTCTGCTCAGACAGGGAAGGCTGTAACCAACCCACAAGAATGATGGGGGTTTGGTCCCAGGGAGCAGAGCATTCAGGCACAGGAGAGAACAATTGGGTGTGATTTGAGTAGCAAAGAGGTGGCAACACATACTCATGATGCTCCCAACAGACACAGGAACATGAGTCTCACTGTGTTACTACTGGGGAGAGACTCTGCTTCTGACAGCTGCTTTCTTGGGAGAACTTCTGGTGCAGTGACATGCATTGAGTCTGCTCATTCCACCAGTGCTTAAAGCACAGAAGGTAATGCTGACCATATAAAAACATTTTTAAGCTAATAAAGATGAAGGGATTGTATCAGTAATAGTGTAGCCAGTGGGGACCATCCCCCTGTGCTGGGCACTGGTGAGGCCACACCTGGAATCCTGGGGTCAGTTTTGGGGCCCCCACTCCAAGAAAGACATTGAGGGGCTGGAGCGTGTGCAGAGAAGGGAATGGAGCTGTGGAAGGGTCTGGAGCACAGGTCTGATGAGGAGCAGCTGAGGGAGCTGGGAAGGCTCAGCCTGGAGAAAAGGAGGCTCTGGTGGGATCTTCTTGCTCTCTACAACTCCCTGAGAGGAGGGTGGAGCCAGGTGGGGGTCAGGCTCTTCTCCCAGTAACAAGTGACAGATCAAGAGGAAATGGCCTCAGGTTGCACCAGGAGATGTTTAGATTGGATATTAGGGAAATTTTTTTCATGGAAAGGGTTGTCAAGCACTGGCACAAGCTGCCCAGGGAAGTGGTGGAGTCACTAACTCGGGGGGTATTTAAAAGAAGTGTAGATGTGGCTCTCAGGGACATGGGTTAGTGGTGGGATTGGCAGTGCTGAGGGAATGGTTGGACTCGATAATCTTAGAAGTCTTTTCCAACATAAATAAGTCTATGATTCAGTGAATTGGGAATCCAGTTGGAGACCACTGCTTCCACAAAACTTGTAAATGGGAGCACAGGGATTACATCACTTAAAAACACACACTCTTCACACACTGAGAACATGATACACCAGCACCAATTCACTAGACTAAGCACATTTTCCAGGAAATGGTGCACAAAACTTTTGAAGTCAAGCAACACTGAAATTAAAAAAAGAAAAAAAAAAAATCAAAAAAGGGTCAGAAGTAGCTCCATTAATTTTCTTTGCCTCAGCTAACGCAGACTGTACAACTGTGCCTTCTGTTGTTTCTCTTTCTTCTTTCAGAAAAAAAACCCCATAGCAACAGCAGAGGAAATGAATTGCGAGTTCCCTGCCACAAAAACATATGAACGGGCTTACTTTGAAGCACGCAAGAAGCTCCCTGGCTTCAGCTGGGACTGGATGTTCAGCATATGCTGCAGGGCTCTGCCAATGTGGGATCTACCAAGTGGAAATGGGACAAAACGTCTGTGTGTGCACGGCCAGAAAAGCTGAGCCAAGGTGTTCACACCACAGCGTGAACTGGTTGCCTGTAGGAAGTGTTCAGCTTTTTAGCAGTGCACACAAGAGACTCAAACCCCGTTAGAGGGTTTAGCCTGGAGAAAAAGAGGCTCAGGGGAGACCTTATCACTCTCTGTAACTCCCTGGAAGGAAGTTGTACCCAGGTAGGGCAGCGTAAAGTGCATAATATTCCTAATAAACATAGAAAATGTATAGAGAAGATGCAAGAGGGAATAAACCAATTCCCAATACTCAGAGGATTTTCAGACTTCTACAGAACACTCTGGCAGCTTCAGGCCCAAAAGAGATGGATAAGGAAGAAAAATCAAAGGGATTGAGTGTATGGGAGAGGTGGCAAAAGGAATGTGCTTCACTGCATGTAAAGCAAGAGGGAGGCACAGGATAAGACTGTGTATAGGAAATATAGAATTGGGCTAAAGGTTGTAGTTTACCTAGAAACCAGGTGATAAGGTGAGTACAGCCCCTTATCAGATTTTAATATGAAAGGTTTGTCTTAGCTATTAGATAATGAAAGCTGGGCTGTGGCCTGGAGCAGGTTTGTTCTAGCACTGAACTCATGCCCACGCTGAGGTTTTCAAGTGCAGGTACTGAGACCCTCAGCTTAACGTCTGAAACAGGGCAAGGTTCAGCCTGTTAGGCAGGCACCTATCAATGTTTCCTAACAGAACAGTAAGGTTTTCATACTGAAACTCCTGTAAGCTTTAAAAGTGTAAAAGCATAAAGTTAATATACTTCTGTAATAAAATATTTACATTATTTCAATTCATGCTGGACATTTCATTGATATTTTCACTAAAAGCCTTCTAAATCAGCCTTCTGCTTTCTTTTTTTTTTTTTTCCTCCCTGAAAGTGATTCCTGACATCCCACCAGTCTCCAGTTCATTACTGGGAGTCAGCAACAACCAGCTGGGGGGTGACTTCACTTACTTTCCTATTCCAGTTGTATATAGTCTACTAAGACAGCTGAAGGTGAGCATTAAAGTCCCCCAAAGACACAAAACATTGCAACAACAGCAAATAAAAAGATCCCAAAGCACTCTGGGGTGTGCACTTCAGGATACTTATAGTAGGAAGTAAAACATTATCAGGATTAAGACTGATTTAAGTCGATGGTGTCACTTCACATTCTTCAGGTAACAAGACTACTACTGTATCCATGACAGGTGTGAGCACCACAAAAATAAAATACTTTTCTAAAGAAATACTTCAAAAGATTTCTTGCACTTTGGAAAAGATAATCTGGATAAGCAGGAAACGAAGGGGGAAAAAACCCAGGAGGACAGGTTTGCCCAAATATCCTAATCCTCCTGTCCAGATCCTAGTCTAGGGACTCCACAGGTTATTTTAAAAACAGACCAGAATATCTTTTGTTTCCTTAAAAGCCTTTTAAAATTATTTTCTATTGCATGCCTGTAATGGACCCTGAATTATTTTGTTACCTTCTGATAGTTTATGGGACAGGGCTGAAATTTCAGAGGAAGGTGACTGTTCTTACCGAGTTATATTTGGTGTTCATGAGCCAGCAGCAAACTCTGACCTCCTGTTTCAGAGTGAAGGGGAAGAGCCACGATGCAGCTTCAGCAAGATGATACTTCCTAAAGACACTCAGCAGGGCACTGGACAGTGTCACAAACACTTCTACTACTAAGGAGTAGAGGTAAAGGTAAGAAAACTCATAGAGCTAATTGTGTTTACTTTGTATCTGCTCTACTGTACAAATAAACTCCCTGTTTCAAATGTCTGCTCAGCAAACCCTTAATTCCAGACAAGTCTAAGTGGCAGGTCACAAAGTTTTCAGTCCTGTTTAATAGGATTAAAAACCTCTAGCAAATATCTTCTTAAAGTAGAGCATGCACCCCAGAAAAAGTTGCTAATTGGGAAAAGAAAATAAATCTCTCCCACAGCTGTGGCTGCTAAGTAGGACCTTTGAAAGACTGCAGGTAATTTTAAGCTCTCCCACTTCCAGTAAAAACATCGGAAAGCCTGCACTAAAATTGGTGAGTGCAAATTAACTTCATCAATATATGAATTCTTGTTATATTGATGAACTCCCAGTCCTGCAAACTCACAAATGAGAGCCAAGCACCAAGTTCACTCAACTCCCAGAGCCTCTCCTGTGTATGTGTATTTGCAGGGATATTTGTCTGTAGTTATTTCTATCACAGAACGTTTAAAGTTGGAAAAGACCTCTAAGACCATTGAGTCAAACCTTCAGTAACTGTAAACAATTCTTCTTGTTACTCTGCCAAATTCACCTTTGTTCCCTCAGAACATATTAGAATAATCTCTTATATTCTTAAAAATTGTTGAAAACTAAAACTGAAATGAGTTAAATGATTTAACTGGGCTTCAGGGTTCTGCTTCTTTTAAAATAACTCACATAAATGCAGGCTGATTAAATTCAGCCACAATGAACACCTGCAGTTAGCTTAATATTTCTATCTAAACTGCTCTGGTGACATTCAAATTTATTATCACGTCAAGATTAAAAAATTATTTAATGAATCAGCGATGCAATTCAGAGGTGTATTATTCTTTGGCTTTGGGGAAAAAAAACATTAAAATGTAAATTTGCAGTGGGATGGGATAAAATATTCTTTTTATAAATGCTGAGCTAGAAAGGGATAGATATACTTTGTCTCCCATGTTTGCTCCATTAATGTGAACCAAGGCTAATAGTCAATCTTATCATAGTAATTCCAGTTTTTAAAACCACAGAAAATATTCCTTTATTTTGCTAGACAATTCAGCAGTTCTGATTTTTAATCCTGATAGGGATAGGCCTGAATCTTTAAGACCTTTTAAAAGACAAGTTTGCTCCAGATCACAGGTGACAGAATCCCCTCCTGGCGCCCGCCCAGGTTTAATTTATTTAGTCCATGCCAGAATCCTTTCAGTTCTCTGCTGTCTATGAAGATTTCCGTGGAAGACAATTGTGAGCCTCATTGGCTCATAAAGGCTCATCTTCTCTCCAAATCCCAAAGGCTAAAACCAGTGTAAATATTTATTTTAGCCTTTAGAATCCTTAAATTCTTAGAAATTACATTACAAAGGTCTAGCTTATATTTTATAGTGCTGAATCTGAATGGGGGCAGAAGTTACAAATGTATTTTGCTCCTGTGTGACGTGGTTTTCCAGAAGTTGGGCATCCTAATCAATCCCTAGTTCTCTTGAAAACCCCAGACCAGGTGGGGAACGCCAGGGCTGAAGCCAAGCACAGACTGCTTTATGTTAGAATTTCAACATGTAAGGGAAAAACCAGGTGAAAATGGGGAGTTTTATTATTGTGACTAAGAGTGATCAAAATAGGCCCTCGATATTCTGTCTAAATCTAACTCCCTTGAGCCAGAAAATAGGAGGAGGCCTGGTAAGTTTGTAAATCGGGGACAATAAATGTGGGAGTGGTTTGTAGCATTGCACTCAAATACACACACACGATGTAATTGCCTGTTTTATTTAGTGGAATCACTTTTGTAGATTAGAAATATTTCCAATTCCCGTTTACTCCAATGCAATCCTCCACCATCGACAGGCGAAACGCAGTTTGTTCAACTGATTCCAAACCAAAAAAAATAAAGAAAAGGAAAAAAAAAAAAAGTACAATCTCAAAAGTTAAGTTAGAAACTAAGTTCACACATTTTCTTTGGGACCAGGAATCTGTACATAGTACAAAATATACATTTATTGAACTTTCTGTAAACACACAGTTTGAATTGTGTAAAACTGTAAATAGTGGGTGAACTACGTGGAGAATAATTTATTATATATTGTTATACATTCTACTTAAGGAAAATAGTTATGCTCTTGTATATTACTCTGTTAAATTTATAAATTCCATAATGAAGCTGTGTAATCTGCAAACATGCTTTTCAAGCTTAAATCTCTCCATTCGTAACACACATTTATACAGGTCATCAATGAAAAAAGTTACACTTTCCACAAAATAGATATAAAGAGGTCATGAATTTTCTAAAAAGACAGGCACAGCATGTCACTACAAACGAGACTCTTTATGATACGATGTGGAGTCAATTCTGTGAGAAGACAGGTGAAAACTCTCTAATTCAGCATGTTTGTACGTGGTCTTAGAAACAAGACAGATGCTAGAAACCAAAATCTCTGCTTATAAAGATTTATAAAATAAGAAGGTCCTGGAACTCAAATGTCATGCTTTTCAGACATCCAGCACTCCCTGGCTTAGAAGAACCTTGGCTTTTTTCTCATACTAACTCTTCATCACTAGTAATTTAGTTTTCTGAGCACTGAACTACCCGGCGCCATTGGCCAAGAACATTTGCATAATTCAGCACTTACTCCAAAAACTAGATTCCTGGCACCAAAGAGTTAGATCCGGTTCTTAAATACAACTTAACTCTTGGTACCCGAGGTCACTGCAAATCACACCATCAGCAATAACAGGCTGGGAAATCCCAACTCCCAGCACCCAAAGGCTGCAGGGCATTAACCCACAGAATGTGGGGTAACAGGTACTGCAGCTTCTCATGTACTGGGGATCTGGTATGTAATGCCCACTTCCCAATTTAAGAGGCTGGAAATTTCAAATTGCAGCAGACTTGTCAGTCTGGCATCACTCAGCAATGATAAAAGGTTCCCCTGTCAACACTGATAAAGATCCTTTCATAGAATGATTCATAGAATGGTCTGGGTTGGAAGGGACCTTTAAGATCATCCAGTTCCAACCTTTCAGTAGGTCCACCACTGGACATGGAAATAATGCTATGCAAATTCAGCACATTTATTCCTACATTTTTAGGGCCTCATTGTTCTTCCATCCCAGGTAACCCATTTTGGGTTTCATCCTTTTATTTATTTACAGCTAAAAGCATTTCATCAAACCTCCTAAACTGTGCCCTTCTGAGGTTTTAAAAGGAAAAAAAAATCTTAGATGCTTAAAGACTTAATGAAATTACCTCCAAATAATCTAACATTTTGCTTTAACATTACCACCTTCTTCCCTTTGGCTCCAAAAAGCTTTTTCAAAACCTAAACTGGATAAAGATTACATTTGTTTTTCATTCCAAGAGAAGTGGGACACTTAAGGCTCCAACAACACATGTGCAAACTTTATATGTCGTGAGCAAAGCTCCATCAATGCCAGCAGAATGTAAATTTAAGTTCGTGCCTGATTTTCCCAAGACTGTTTTAGTCTAATTTTAGTGTGAACAGAAACATTGTGCCTCCAATCTGAAATCCCCAAGCAATGAAATCGGCTGCCCAGTATTTGCACTGCTCAGAACGGGTGGAATTCACTTACACAGGTGAAACTAAACTCTGGACCTTAGTCTATAGGAATTGATAGCAGTACATGATGTTTTATGACCCAACGTGTTTCCTCATTTTTTCTTAAAGTTATTTCTAAAACTATACAACAGTGGCATCTCCCTCAACTCTGGAGGCCTCCTCACAATACACAAGGAGAGTCCTGTCCACTCTGGCTGTAAAACCCCCACGCTCCCACCAGCTCTTCAGAGCCAACAGCCCATGGAGGCAAAAAGGGATTTCAGCTGTGGCTCAATGTTCTTGAGCACACTGAGAAGTGCAGATGTCGTGTTCCTGAAGGAAAATGGCACTACCTGACACAGCACCCACCGCTGCAAATAAGTGGCTGCTTACACAGCAGTAAGGACCATTGGTTTTATTCTTCCTATTTTGGGGGAGGGGGGGAAGAAAAAAAACAAAGCACATGCCTAGTGATATTTTAAAAAGCATTTGGGCAGGAGTCAGTACAAGTTAAGTGTAAAAATGTCACTAGATATAAACCAATACATACTCTAGAAATCTGACCTGTCATCCCACCTCCACTGAAGTTCTGACAATATCAGAATAGAATGATTTCCTTAATTCTGTAAAAGGCATTTTTAAACTTAAGCTCACTTTCTCAACTTTTGTCATTGCAAAAGTTTGTGGTCATTGCACTTAAAGCAAGCCTCTCCCAAAACCCTTTCCTAGGACATCATTATCACTCCTGTTCCCTTAGCTTGGAAGCAAAGAAGTGTCTACACGAGGGGGGAAAAAAAAGATCTGGTTTACTGCAACTCAAAAGGAACATCAAATAAAAACACAGATAAAGCAATGAATATACATAAAGCCTAAGTCATTATAGGTCAACAACTGAAACAATCAGGAGATTAAAGCTCAGGACACTTTTTTCACTTATTAAGCAAATAGTAGAAGTATTTGTCATTTTTCTGAAAACAAGTTTTCAGGGGGAGACAACGTGAACTCAACTTTCAGCATGTCTGTTTTTTTTTTTTTCTACTTGAATGCATTTAGTGGTCCATAAGAATAAAGACGAGCTTCAAGTTTTCCTACAGCTTCCTGAACTCCTGTGAACAATTGCCACGGCCCAGGTGACTGCTACCTCATTTATAAAGCAATGTTATTAAGCAAAATAAGGCTACAGTGTTTCAGATGGGCACACCTGGGTCTGCAGAGACCTGCAGACTGTGCAAACACTCCACAGAAAGAGCTCACCAGAAGATTAGATTCTCTGATCAGTATTTCAGACAGGTCAGTCAAAATTATTTAGCCTCAGAGTGGTACTTCTAAATTTTGCTCCTTTCTTACAGTTTATGGCAGGAATCACATTCATTTTATGCGCTACAGAATCCTAGAAATCCATGTCTGGAGCCTCTTTTTACCACTTCAAGAGGTAAAAACCCTGTCCAGCCAAACAGAGAGTTTACACCCTGAGCTCGTCTACAAAGGCTCAGGAATGATCACCTCAGACACGGGTAGTGGTAGGAACAGGGAGCCACACTCATTATCTAGGAGACATCATTTTCACGTCTTGTGAGGCTTGGCACAGAGTAACAATTCATTTTCTACAGAAGAATGTCAGGTACAGCTCTGTAGCTCTAAAGTTTTGCCGTTTCTGAACCTATGCAAGGTACATCAGGTTTGTATTAAATACTGCCTTTGCCGAGGGATGAGGAAAAGGGCACTCTTTTCCTAAAGGTTTGCCCCTTTCAGACACGGCCAAGTTTAAATATCAAGAAATTCAAATACACCAAATCATTTGTGCATAAGAGCAATTCAAGAAGGTGCAGGTAGAGATGAAGGTGAACATCTATCTCAGCATGATGAAATCCTGATGTACATTGAAATAAGGTAACCTGTAACAACCATATCATTAACCTAATTGTGGCAGCCGTGCTGTCTCTCCCACAGGACAGAGCCACACACCCCTAGAGAACACAAACACGAGGTTTGTCAGCACGGAACGCGCACACAGGACGTTAAGACCAAAGTTTGATGATTCCAGTTTTAAGAAAAAGAACGTTTACCAAAGCAAAATGTCTCTCCTAAGTACAGAGCGGGGAAAGATCTGCAAAGGCTTCGATACTCCCTACACAGCCCATCATTTATCTGGGTGTGGTTTCCCACACCGCGGCAGGACGGGTGGTGCAAACATTCCTTGCTCCCAGTCCTGCCTCCCCACCCTCCATCTTGCCCTAGCAGCAGCACCCCACAGCTGGATTATCAGCTTACCCAGCTGAAGAGGACAGGGCTTCTCTTTGTCCTAACTCCATGCCCACATAAGGGCAAGTACTGGCACAAAAAAAGGCAGTAGGGACAAACTTGGAGCAACATTTAGTCTTGAAGTAACTTTATCATGAAACCATATCCTTCGTTCATAAATTACTAAAAATGGAATGCAACAGGAAGTCTGTCCTATCCCAGTGTATCAAAGTAAGATGGGATTCTCATCAGGGAATCAAGTAAAGGGAAAACTGTTCCCTAATTTTGTTAAGTTTCCGATTCTTGAACTGAGCAAAATAGCTCAGACCTATATTGAGTTGAGACAGCACCAGCTTTGCAATAAATAAAGTAGTGGACATTGAAGTCAGTTTATTACAAGGAAATGTTAAAAAGATCAGCTTTGGCACCTGCACGACCTCTCAAGGTAACTGCTACCATTGCTCATCTGCTGCTCAGTATTCAGCAGGCACCTTGCTAGTACGACACAGCCAAGGATTAGTGCAGCTCAATGACAGGCAGATGGAATTTCTCTCTCCAATTCTGATTTTTGCTCTGATGGCTGTGCCTCAAGGTCTTGGTGGTGGTGCTGCTCCCGGGCCAGGTGAGAGCAAGCCCAGCTGAAAGGCTCTGGCTCTATAACTCAATGGGACCTGCTGATTTCTGCCCCACCAGGGGCTCTATTGATAAAAGAGATTTACAAAGCCTTGCAAATCTAGGACCCTGATCAATGCCATGGCATTCAGTTCATCCAACATTCGTTTAAAAGACATTTTAGAAGCCTCTGTCTTGAACATATTTCAATGCTGAATTAGTGAGAATTATTTGAAACAGTTGTCTATAAAGCAGTACAGGTATTCTCCCAGAACGATCAGCGAAACATTTAATCTGACTACAACAAAACTCACAGAAACTGAAGCCAGTGAAGCTGTCAAATGTAGAAGGAAAACAAAGTTGCATGGCATACGAAGCAAAGTAGCTTTACAAATGTCATTTCCTTTTAAAAACAAGCAAATTGGGACCATCCTATTTGAACATGTATTTAAAAATACATCTTTTAACATCACACAATTTTCATTTCCATCACACAGGAATCTTTTTCCAAGAGGGAAATAAATAGCACACAATACTTCAAAATAAAAATTGCTGCCTTGCCCCTGAGGTGCTAATGTTTTTAGCATTTAAAAAAAAGTTTCTGGTGCAAGAAGGAGATGCACAAAGGTGCAAAAGTGCCTTTTTTTTTTTTTCTTTTCAGAGCAGTGAAAAGTACAGATTGCCTCTTCTCTAGGATGCTTTATATACTCAACTGGTATATTCTGTAATCAAAATCTGTATCTAAAATGGCAGTGTTTATGCATACATAATAATTCAGTGCTCTGACCTCACCAAAAAGCTGAATGTAGGCGGGAGAGAGAAAGGCCTGAAACGGGCTTTCTTCCACTACCCTCAAACCTACTCACATGGCCTGTAGCAACAGCAGAATTATCTCCTCTCTAACCTTCAGGAGACCTCGCCAGAAGAGGCTTCAGATATCTCCTTTGTCACTGAGACAGTTTAAGTGATTATGGTTTGAAGTAAGTATGGCTTTTCACACCACAGTTTTGCTTCCGATTCGTACAAGTTTAAAACTCAAAGGTTCCACAGTCCAGTTCAAGGTTTTGCAGTTTCCAAAACTAAACTTTAGTCTCTATGAAAAAGGACAGAACTTTCTCTGCCTAGTCCTAAATTAAGTTTAGCTTTTCGCACTAATACGCCATGTATTATTAAATATGCTTGTTAATTAGGTGCCTGTGAAGCTATAACTTAACATTATTATAGTTGTGCACTCTACAACAAAATTAGACATTTTAAGCATTTATTCATAGGTAGGTAAGGAACTGGTTCTTTAAGCAAAAATTGCTATAAATTTATAAATACAAATAGTGCTTATGTTTTCTTCATTCATGCTTGAACAGATTACAAACTGAATACAATGAAGTTACGTTTAAGCACCCCACATAGACAAGAGGGATAAAAGAAAAGTTTGCTGGTATATACTATACTTAGTTCCAAGACACTATAAGTTACTTTTTTCACTGTTCAGTGTTCCCTAACTCTGCATTAGTTTTAAGGCTATATATACAAATATGTATATGTCAAAGTTAGGGAAAGACAAATATAGCAAAATGCATTGTACTACGTTTTCCTATCAAAAAGTAATTATACACCAAGTTTTGATTCTGTCTAACTGCAGTAAATGTTACAATCTACTTGTTTTACTGATTTTCCTTTTGGGGAATCTGCCTACTAAATGAGTAAACTACATATTAAATACAATATTCTCAACCAAAAAGACAATACAAGGTGCACAAAACAGCAGTTTTGCAAACACGACTGACTTGAAAACTTAATTTTCGTATGCTCAATGGGAGAAAGCTAAGCTTAAATCAAATTAGTTTATTATCTTATAAAATTTTAAATTAGAATTTTAAACAACGAACAGTTAAATATTGTCAACATGCTATACCTCAAATCACAAGTACTGTTTAACCACTAGTCTCTCATTCTAAGTAAGTGGGTCAATTAAAAACACACACCATAAAATGTTAAAGATTGTCAGGCTTTGACACATGTATTTTTATCAAACAGTAGGCAAATTCAAACCAATGCACATCTTCAGTAGGGAGGAGAAAAAAAAAAACAACAAAAAACACCACCAAAAAGCCTGAAAAAACCCACACTTGTAAAAAATAGGGTAACGGATTAATCCCACATCATCCTCTAGCATATGGCTATGTCTTGGGCAATAATCAAAATCCTTCCCATTTTAAAAATGGGCTACCAATTAATAAAAATATTCTTCCACAAGTAAAATATCATTTACAATGGCACTGACATTTTCAAAGGCAGGAAAAAAGGAATTACACATTTATGGGTAAAGGTCTTGTTTGTTAAATCAAGCTTTATTGATAAAATGGAATTCAGAGCATTTTACTTGGAACAGCAGCAGACCCAGCCAATCAGGATTGTAAAAATGCTGCAGACTCCTACTGGACGTAGAAAGCTGCCTTTCCGTGCTCAGTGATCAGCAGTTTCAGGTGAGGGTTAATGGGAAAAGAGGTGCAAAGAATCAAGGCATTCTGATCCCAAGATTTGTAGGAAGAGGATACTGTTAACAGGGCATGATTTAACTCCCACTGAACTCAAAATCGCAAATCCCTTCGACTCCAACGTGAGAGCAGGAGTGCATCCAAGAAAATGATATCCATTTGTTGAAGAATGTGCACTACTTTTAAGTTATTTTTCCATTGCCAAGCAAAAATTCACACACTGTAATTTCTGGTAAGTTGCCCACGAGTTCAGCTTTCATATAAACCAAAAAGTTATCTTTACAGTTTTGTGCACCTCCTGAGCACCTAGCTGGCTAGGCTGCTGCTCCTTGCAATCCAAAACCACAACATGAATTTAAAAGGGATATATATTGTTGCATCACACAAGCCAAAACATTTCTTCTAACCTTTATAGTGATTTAAAGCGGTTCATAATTAAATATGAGCATTTTGTACAAAGACAATTGCACTTTACAAAAACAAAATCATACAACATAAATTGCTGGAGTCTGATTTACAACATGAATTATGGTTTGAAATCACGTTTACAGAAGTCTGTTTTACAAAAATGATCAGTTCCTGGGCTAGGTGTCGTACTGCTGTAGTCACTCTCACCAACACATCATATTCCCTTCTTTAATTAAGGTTGAGGATGGATGTTAAGAAGGGTCACTGAGGTTGGGCTGCACTTTCATTTGCAGGATGAAACGTGAACTCCACAGCTAGATGAGCAGTTTTACCACATATCATCAGTTGAGGCAGAATCCTTAAAGAAAAAAGAAGGAACCCTTTAAAGTCTGGAGTGCCCATTGTTGCAGGAGTTTCTGGATAATCCAGACTGAAAAGGGTGGAGACTTAAATCATTTCATGAGTCTTGTTTTCTCTCCCCTTTCAGAGAGAGCATTTAAGAAGTATCTAAAAACCATATATTCTTAATAAATGAAACATTAGAACCAAGACATCTAAAAATCTGACCAAGTGTTTTATCAAGTCTCAAAATAATATCGCAGGAACATTACTGAGAAGCATTTTCAGAGTAGTCAGAAGTCATACAAAATGGATACACTCAGTAAACAGGTGTGATAAAAGAGCAGGATGTGCCTCATTTCATGTGTTACCACCATTGTCATCTTTTGTGTTCTCAGCCCTCCCTCACTGCAGAGGAACACAGAGACTTAACTGATGCCCTGCTAGAACTCAGAGCTATTTCAGCACTTAGAATTTAAGGTTACAGATGTGTAGTTTGGACAACTGCAGAAAACCCTAATTTTGGATAGTAATAAAACCACAAGAGGAAAAAATAAATGTATATAACAAAAAAAAAAAGGGAAGTAGAAACATGTCATGCTCCAAATCATAACCATATGGCCACCTGAGTGTCATCAGAGAATCACAGAATGTTAAGGGGTTGGAATGGACCTTAAAGATCACCTAGTCCCAACCCACCCTGCCACAGACAGGGACACCTCCCACTAGACCAGATTATTCAAGGCCTTATCCAACCTGGCTTTGAACACTGCCAGGGCTGGGGCACCCACCACCTCCCTGGGCAACCTGTTCCAGTGTCTCTAAAATTTGGTCCATTTAGACCCATGGGCAAGAGTGGATTTTGTGTAACTACCACAGTCCTGGAAAATGTTTAACCAATCCCTGGTTTAACCAATGTTTAATTTTACTAGGTGGTTTTTAATCCAGTTGCCTTTGTGGCACGTCTGTTTCCTTTTCCCTTGCTCAGAGTGCTCTATATTCAGCTTTCTCCCCCTGCCCCCTTGGGGGTTACACAGGTTAACCACAACTAACTGGGACCACAGCTAAATCAACAGCTAAATCAGCAGCACAGGCATCAAACTGCTTCTGTGCAGCCACCTTTGGTTTGGTTGTTTCAGAGTTACCTGCTCCCCTTTCCTTAAGTAATTAAGGGCCACCATGGGCTTTAACAACAGCGTATCCTGGTGCTTCCACAGCTACACTTCCCCGTCATTACTAAGACTGCAGGAGGTAGAAATATTACTTGTCTTTAAAGCACTGCCTTACTGCTCCTTGGAGAGAAAAGAGGCTAATTAAGTCTCTAGCAATGCCACACATGATAATTTCTTAGCACTGAAGTTCTGCACCCTTCACTCAAACTCGCACACAGAACCCATTACAAACCATAGAGGGGAACAGTTGGCACGGAGGTGTAGTAAAAACAACACAAACTGAAATTACCCTTTGCAAAAGTACCACCTCCAGTTTTTCCTTCAAGACCAGAAGTAGCAAAGGAGAACAATTATATGAAAGACTAAAATGGCTGTTTCATGTGCCAGGATGAAGAATAAAAGCAGTATGAGTAAAAATGCACGAGCTGCTTGCCAACTATTCCATATGCAAATTTCGGTATCCAAGTCACGAACATCATCACAACGTTTGTGTACTGTACATTTGTAGGACAGCAACATTGTACAGAATGTATTTTCAAGGCAAAGCATTCTCTTTCAGCCACTATTTAGGAATTTTTATGCTAAAAATAGAACAAGGACAGACAAATAAATGAATGCCCAACTCTTTATTGTCTGGATGCATTTCACTTATGTCACATTTAAGCAATTTTTGCTGATGGGTAAAAGGATCAGTTTAACTACTTCATGACATACAGCACTTCTGGTGAGAGAACGTTGTTTCTGGTGATCAAGCTGCAATTGGGACCACAGTTCATATTCTAGAGGTTTTCTGTTTGTGGGTTTCCCCCCCCAGTCCACTTAGTGAATAATATATTCTTAAAGCTGATAATTACACATCTGTTTAACCTTTAAGTAGAGGCATTATCTTCTTGATATTTGGGGGACAACATTGCCCATAAAGAAGGGAAAAACCCCCATGACTCTTTCCACCATTTGGCAGCATTTGGAAATCCAGGCAGGACTGAAATAATGACATTCCAGAGGACAAATGAGTCAATCACACTGGAGTTTTGAGACTGTGATCAGCAGAAGGCAGCAGAAAACCACCACGGAACACAGTCCCAAGAGTACAACACTGCTATTCCTTCCTTGGGGAAGAGGTCTTTAATAAAAACTAGCAATGTTTCTTTCCAAAGCAGCTAAAATAACTGGGGTGGGGGTAAAGGTAATGTAAGAGAAAGGATACTTACAGCATCATCATTCCTGTAGGGGTTCAGTCTGTTATAAACGGCTTCAATCACACTCCGTCTAGAGCAAAAAAACAAACCCCACAAGATTTTAAGGTTGTGTCTTTCTTTTTCTCTAAAGTCAAATTCCCTAAGTACAGTTTTAATTTAAAATGTAAACTTTAAAAGGCTGTAAATTCACAGAATACTCTTCTACAATGATAGGTCCAATACTCTCCAGCAACTTTTCTCCGAAAAGACATTAAACTGCAAATAGCAGCTTTGTGTATTCTATCTTCAGACTGAGGCAAATTTTGTCTGGCAAAACATATTAAAAATTATTTCAATCATCTTGACAGTTTCCTCCTTTTAAAAGAAAACATGCTTAGCATATTTAAGATAGCTTGAAATTAACCTTCGTCTCTGGGATGATTGGTTTTTCTAATACTGATAGAAAATTGATAAGAAAGGGATGGATAAATATTAATAGAAAATTTGCAATCCACATGTAAGTGAGCAACATGATTTTTATTTATGTAACAAAGTTTTCTTGAAAATTGGTAGTAAATTAAAAAAAAAAAAAAAGAATCCAATGTGAAGCTGAAGGAAGAGGAAGCCTTTGCCTTTCCCAGTATATAAGTAAACAACTTTGGAGGGAGACCAGGAAGGAAAGAGGGGAGTAAAAAACAGGAATTATAGGCTGGACTTTAAAAGCAACTTTCTTCCAGATCCCCTTCTGCAAAATCAAGTGTGACGAAGTAGAAGGAGACTGAAACTGTGATACAAAACAAACTTCAAAGAACCACCTTTAAACTGCTGATGAATGCATGCAGAGCAATCACAAAGGAGTACATGAGAAGAAAAAAAAGCAGATGACAGGCTTTGGAATCATCCCATAATACTGAAAAGTCAGGAACTACCATGAATAAACATCACAGTGAATGCAGTGAATGATTATAGGAAGAAGAGGCTGGATTTAAAGCAATAAAATGAAGCAATTACAGACAAAGTATGTTGCATGTATGAACTGGAAAGTTTCCCTTATCTCTCAAGAAATAGGTATCTTTGATTCTAAATAAAGGCAGATTTCTTGAAAAGCATTATACTCCTTCCAAATTGGCAACAGTGCTTTAAGTTACACTAACATCCAATTAAATTCACATTTTTATCAGTCCCTACTCAAACCAGCATCACTAAGACACAGAATCCCACAGAAGTCTGTCACTTCAGCATTTCTTCACAACCATGATGCTACCACTAACCAAAGGAGATGAAGAAAAACCAATTTGTATGCTGTATTTCATGAGTAACTGACTGATACTTCAAGACTACAGCAAAATGTCCCAAATAGATGCTATTTTACATGAAATTGCAATCTCTTCTTTTCCAAGTCAAACAGTTCATAGAAGAACAATTTTGTTTTGTAGAAGCCATCTTTGCAGTTATTTTATAATTATTCAATTTATTCATTTGTCATTTATTCAATTACATGCCTAAAGTCTTCACCTTTTGGTGTAACAATACAAAAATCACACTCTGAAAGGTCAAAAATACTCTGTACCAAATGTGCCCAATTCATTTTAACACAGCACAGGCTCATGAACAATCTTTTGAACCAAAAAGCACTTGGTTTGGGGTGCAAACGAGCTAAGGACATTGCTTCCTTAAAGACTGAACATTTGAGAAGCCACAGAGCATCATCACTGAACTCTTCAAAGACAAAGCTGTAAATTTAACTTCCCACTTTTTTTTTTATAGACTTCTATCTTGTTTTCAGATTTGTCACAAGCAGAGAGAAAACAAAAGCAAATTTTTAAGTGATTACAACATGGCTTTAGCTACAGACAAGGAAAGAAAGCTGCCAAACAAAACATCTTATGCATATCACTTCTTGTCAAAGTGCAGAAATACATATCCAAGTAATCACTAAATTCAGTGTATTATTTTTGCACGTTCAAATGTAACCTCCCCCCCAGAAACCCCAGTTAATTAAAAAAAATAACAACTCAGGCCACCCTTAAAAAACCCTCATTGCTTCCCAAAACTACAGTTTGACATTTAATTTTCGCAGTGATTCATAGTTAACTCCGTTCTTATGCCTGTTCTTTTCACTCAGAACAACTGAGTAATAAAAATTAGAGAACAGATCATCACCTTTTGTCCTGTACCCTTCTTCCCTCCCTTCTCCCCCTCCCCACCCCCCCACTTTTAAGAGTGGCCTTGCAGTTAAGTTGGGATTTAAATCAAAAACCACATGTACACTGATGTGAACTCACTTGCTTGCCAACTCCCCCCCGGGCGGGAGGTTTGGGATGCTCTCAGTTGCTAACGTACGCATCACGTGGACTAAGTCTGGCACTCCTTCACCCTGCTTCTTTATGATCTCTGGGAATCAGAAGTACTTTTTTTGTAAGTGCAGTCCAAATTTAACTTTAAAAGATTGAAACACTCAGTTTTATAAAAAGGCAGCTTAACATTTAAAAAAAAAAAAAAAGAAAAAAAAAAAAAAGACAGATCGTACTCAACATGGTAATTGTTACTTTTGGTTCTGAAAGGAAAAGAGCCTGTAACAGATTTGACAATGATACACTGCTGTTAACATGCACACTGGTTTGGGAAATACACAGCTACCTAGTAACAGTGGGGAAAAAAATTCTTTAATGGTTTTCCTGCTATACACTAGATAGAAGACGTAATATCTCCCCAACGAAATGCCCAGGGCATGAGGCAGATATTAACATCAGCTTTATGGCTGCAACAGAAGATAAAATATTATTGCCATCACAGAAAGCATAATATTTTCAAGAAACAAAACGTCAGACATATTAAAAATAACCCCTGTGGCTGTATGTGTATCAGCCAATACTTGTATCTCACTGCATCACAGGAATATGCAAATTTTAAGAATTATTACACACAAATTAATAGCCAGGGACACCACATCCAATTGACAGTTCCATCCTCGACTCAGGGGATATTTAAATATTGAGCAGATACTTAAAAGCTGATCCACTCCAGCTTCTGGGTGAAGAGAATCTGTATTATAGCCACAGTCTCGTTTGCCAAGAAATTAATTCTTTAACTTTATTCTTAGGCCTGGTTGGATTTATTTTTTTTTTTGGCGTTTGCTTTATTTTTTTTTTTCCTCAAGCCATAAGCACACAATTTTATTTGAATTGAAGAGATTTCAGACCACCCCACCCCTGAAGAGCCGCTCTTTAAACAGGGATTTTAGGAAACTTAAAGAACAAGCAAGAAATGCATCTCCTTGGTTTCTCTGTAAACAGGAGCTCTCAGAAATTGCAAAATACATGAACTATTAAGACCTGGTGCTGTTGATCTTCAAGTGAATATTGCAACATGCATACAATAATTTGTACATATGTGCACATCTATACATGCACATATGTACAGGCACACTATTTTTCATGTAATAGAGCATTTACACAGTTTGAAAGTAGTTGGAATTCATCAGTACCGTTTCTGAAAAATACTCTAGCATTCAGTTTTTGCCCTAAATAATTCCAGAAGAACATACCAAGTTTCCATTTTATAATCTGTGAGATAAAGCACACTGAAATCCTTTAAAACCAACATGTATCCAGTTCCTTTTAGTTAAAAAAAAAATAAAATTAAAACCAACAGTTGTGAACTACTTTTTGTTCGTGTTATAGTTTTTCAGGGCTGTGTGTGTTTATAAAAAGCATCGGCTCTATTTTGCAGTCAGGCTGTGTAAATTATTTGCAAGGTATAGTGGAAACACTGTCTAGTCCTCAGCCAGCATCAGACTCTGCAGCACAAAGCTTTAAGCTGTTTACTTCAAAACCTACATTTCAAATGCATGACACCGCACACCAGAGACCCCTCAAAAATTTGCCATTTCCTCAAAATCTACAGCCAAAATTCATTTTACCGTCTAATGTTTAGTAAATAAATAATCTAAGACTCTTAAATCTGAATAAGAAGCCAAGATCTCAGATTTGGTTTGCCAAGTTCCTTTATTGTGCAATTTTGAACATCTAGTATATGCTACATTGTGCTAGTGCTAAAGTTCTGCTGTACAAAAATAAGGAATTTATAGTTGACCTATGCTACACAGTTTCACAACCTGTAACTGCAGTACATTTAACATACAGTCTCCACTAAATGAATACATTTATACTTTGATAAAACTATAGATACAGACTGAATGAACACTGAAGACACAACAAATGGAGTCGGTCTGCTAGCTGTGTTTAATTTATTGGAATTATCTTGTTTCAATACACCTTCAACCCTCCCCCCAATCTTTAATTTACTTTTAAACCTTCTACACATTTTCATGGCATCAAGTACTGGAAAAAATGTACTTAAAACCCTAAAATAAAGGATTCAAAAATGGGAATTCCATACAAAGTTTAAGAAAAAGCCAGAGCTTTGTTTTTGTGAAAATAAGGAAAGGAACATGTAACAGCTAGCTTAAAATTATTTATCTCTATATAGGTATAAATATTGTAAGGATTATTTATTACGGAATGGTTTTATGTAAAAAAAAAATGAGAACAGAAAAAAAAGCTTAGACAAGTTTCTTTTTAGAGTCAACACATCAATAACACATATTAGTGCAAATAATAGCAACACATTTTGGAATGACTGGTTACTTCTACCATGAAGTTCACATGATATTTTAGGGGTAACATTGATTTATTGCAAGTAATGGCACAAGGATGCTTCTCCACACTTGCTGCTTCTTCCATTATTTATTGTAGCTATGAATCTGGACCACAAACACATCAGAAGTAGTTGAAGGAGAGTGCTAAGTGACATGGTGAGTAGAAAACTTCCTATGTTTTCTAAATCTGAGTCGTCTCTCCTTATTCAAGATGACCATCAGTACTAAGTCCCATTCAGTCTTAAAATTTGCACTACTTTTTAACAGTATAAGGATATATTCTGGGCTGAGGGAATAGAAATACAACCAGAAAAAAGATGCACACTAGTAAGCATCGACTCCCATTACTTGTTGGACTTCACTGAGTACTGAAGTGCATAAAAATACATAATATGCATTTTGACCAACTTTCCATTTTAATTCATTTTAACTGTAAATTGATGTTACAGATTAGTAAGATCATTCTAAAAGTACTCCTTATATGTTCTAGTTGCTTCAGCCAAAAATTAGGCTTTTAAAGTTAAGCACTGCTACTCTTATAGTATTCTAAGGTAAGAGCAAGATTATTCACTGTAGTGTATAAAGTTTCAGATGCTGTAGCAGTCCTACCTTACTACTCAATAAGGCATTATCCATTTACTTCGGAAACAACTCAACTGCACAGGAATTAAGTTAAATGTAACCAAATTAATCAATTCCTGTTCTTGAAGTTCTGCTTTAGTTCAGCCTTTCAACTTCTCTCATGAGTAAGTAAAAGGCCAAACTCTGCACACAGCTGATACAAATTGCTGCTGGGGTGAGTAGTGTTTACTACATATTTATTACTTTAAATAATATCTTTGTGCAACTATAGGCAAAAGGTTGAGAAGAACTCTCAAAAAGAAGCAAAATCCTTGAGGGCAAGTACAATATATTTCCTCAAGGTGTTCAGACATCATTCCATTAAATTAGTATTAAAGTGCTTTATAACTACATACAGAATCCTTCTGCCTCTATGCAATTATCACACTTTGCTCATTCCTGAAATTTTCTATTTGTATAACTGCAAAGTACCAGCAGCCAAACTCATTGTATGTACCATAACCACATGCAAGTCCAGTGTTTAGGTTCTTCCTTTGTAAAATGAAGCAGCTGTACAAAAATGCCAGCTTTCCTCATTGTAATACTCCTGGGGTACAATGAAGATGCAGCCTTGACTTGAACATATTTCCATATTCTAGGTCACGGGTTTGTCTGAACCCAGACAAAATATCTAAGATAAGAAGGCAACACTTGCCCAAATTAGGACTGTTACCATGCTGTAAATTAATGTGTGAACGTACAGCACACTTGTTCTCCACCAAATCTGTGGGTGGGCACACACACAGCAAGCTCTCCAAATGCCTGGTGCAAACCTGCTCCCTGCTTTGCAAGGCACGAAGCCATCTGACACTTCCCTCACGCAGCGTGACCGCGCACTCGTATCCCTGCTGCGCTGCCAGGGAGATTCACACCATCGCTCCCTGGGCACCAACTTCTCCTCTCAGGCAAGTGTTAAGATTAAAGCACAGAAATGTCTGCCTGGACATTTGTTCAGGGGCAGAACAGATGCAGTTTGCCAAGACCTTGTGAATGAGGCCTTTGAAAAGCGTGGTACTTTCTGAAGGAGCACCTACACAGGTTGTAAGTGCTTTAAAATTGCACATTAATTTGTCTGAACCCACAATTCCCATGTAGGCAAGCTCTCTGTGAGATTTCTGAAGCTGCACTGTGTTGTCTTCACGCAAGTTAAGGAGGGAAAAAGTGCATAATATACTCCTCTAACTTACTAATCACTGCTACCATAGTTGTGAAGAAGTCTGCCTATTGTGCCCGGTGTGCTATTAAGGATTCTTGGGAGTACACACACAAAACTAGACTTGTAACATATAGGTCTAGAGGAGTCCACTTCAAAAATAGACTTAACCTATGCAAATAATGCATACAGCATGTCTTATGTTTCAGAAACAAACTCCAAGCTGTGGTTGGTTTTAAATACCAAAAGGCACTATAAATGCAGTTTGAACCAGAAATTCTTTAAATCGAATTGATTTCAAGTATCATTTTTATGTGATCCAAAAAGCCCAAGGCTTGCAGTTTCAGTTTATAGAACTCCAGAAATACAAATTAAAGGAAAAATTTTGAAGTTACTATCAGAGTAAGATGAGTTCCCAGCTTGTTTGTCATGAATGCTTAAAGATCAGCTTTCAAATAAGTAAATATATTAGCTTAAAGATTACAGTAATCAAGTTGTAATGCTACTATAACTGGTAATAGAATATTACAGCTAACTGATTTGTATTTAATTATATGGAAAAATGGCACTCAAATTACCATCTTCATAGACACTTTGCAAGATATTTTGATTATTTCATTTAACTCCATGTAACAGGAATCAGGATTCACTGGTCTGAAGTTAGTGCTGTCAACAGACTCAGGAAGAATTCTGGGCACGAATGCATTCTCTGCCATCCTGAATAGTTTTCTGGGTTATAGGCTGCTGCACTTTCACAGCAGAGCTTTCTCAGGACATATATGAGTGCCTTTTTCAGAGGTACACAGGATGGCCAATGGCACTTGAAGGTCTATTAAGAAGCCTGTATGTGTTAAGGGTTTAGCTGTTGGAAGGGGAAGGGGGCCAGGGATCTGTTTAGAAACAAAGTTACTTATTTTTTTTTAAATGATCCACCTTCTACTCTGCTTTCCAGGTACTTGTCCAACTCTGCCTCTCTTTTCACCGCCTCTGGCGATACCTTTGGTGCATTCGGAAAACAGATCAATATCACACTCATGTTGTCTCGACTTCCCTGGTGGAAAAGAAAAAACGATTTGAGAAATGTATACACACACACCAGGCTAAATACACATCAAAGCATTTGACACACAGAAATTCACAAGTCATAAGGTATTAGGATCCAACAGTATTAGAATCCAACATTTACTACTGTGGATGAATATTATCCTTTGCATTAATTCCCCCTTACAGAATTCCACGCCCGTTCATTCGGTACAGCTGTTAAGTCACTTTGTTCTTTCCTCTTTTGTGGTCTGAAGACTACATGGAGCCAGTTACAGACAGCCCACGGTCTAAAAACTGACATTAGTCATGAGTGATGTGTAATCACAAAGTTGTGTTCCATCCTGTTTCAAATACTATCCAATTGTTTGGGGAAAACAGCTGAATATCAGATGGGTGAACAGAACCATTACTGCTTAAAAGCAGTAGGCAGGAAAGCGCTGAATTCAGACAGTGCTTCCACCTAAAATCACAGCTATTAGGTTCCCCCCCAACAGCCCTTTTCTTTTAAAACAAGGAAAGTTACAAGTGAGAGAATTTGTTTGAAGACCAACTGGGAGGTGCCCAGGCCTCTACAAAAACATTCTTTGAAATGGAAACATTTAAAACTCAACTAAACAGAACCCCAATACTTGAATGTGTTAAAATACAACCACATTCTGCTTATGCAAAGTAATTGTTCAGTTTACTTTCAATACCCCTGTGCTCTGGTCTACAAAACATGCATCCATATGCCTAACTTTTAATGATAACTAAATCCACTGATGTCAGCAAGATCAAGAACAAGCCAGTGTTCAGAACAACAGTATCTGGGTGCATGGGAAGGTGCTGACAGCTGGCTCCTGCAAAGCTTACAGCATCCACAAGCCACTGTTCCTTTCCTGGAATTTGTTTTCAGGACTACCAAACAAAAATTGCAAACAAAAACATAAGCATTATCAATCTGCCAAAGTGTTGGAAAGCAATTACATTCTTCCAAACAGGAAACAATGACCCTGTTAGCCATGTGGCAAAAACAGAGACGCTGTCTTGTCTCTTTAGAATCAAAAATGTTGGTTTTTTACATTATGACTTCTAGCTCCTTTGGAAATTAAGTATCAAGCTATGAAACTCAGTGCTTGGAACCTCTTCTGTAACTGCATCACCCTGCAACTTATAAATACAAAGTAAAAGTTATTGCTGACAAAATTACACAGATTTGTTAAACCAAAAGGTCCCAGCTTCTACTTGAGCTGCTTTCAGAGCTGTATCACACAACACTGAATAAGAAATACAGTAATTAAACCAAAATAAACACTAACATAGGAAGACAGGCCTTCATAGTTAAGCAGGAATTTTAAACTGCAAAATATGAAGTCAAGGTTCATTCATTCTGCATTTATCTTGGTGTAATTATATCAGTAATATTACTACTATATGTCCAAGAAAGGAGGGGAAGATTAGGAGTGGAAAAAATGATCTCTAGCCCGATTAAGACTTAAGAGCTACGGTTTTGTAAAGTATGTTATAAAACAGAAAAGGGCAGTTACTGTCTTGCCCATAAATACCCATCAGCTCCTAGTTTTCCATCAATCACAATGTATCTGTACATGATTATAAACTCTAATTAACCAAAACCACCAGAAAGACATATTGTTTCTGTTGTGTGTTCATTCCCCCTCTATCACAATTTCTGTGGGAGACACGGTCATTACTGTCAAAGTCGTGTTAACATAAACCATTGGACACTTATAGACTGGAATCAAAACTTATTCTTAACTTGTTCATAAACTTCTAACAGTCAAATCACAGTAAACTCAGCTTCTCTCAAGTCTGGCTACCTTGTACAAGCAGGTGTCAACTATCTCATTGCAAACTTTCTCAAGGTCATCAGTGACTTCAAGTCTGGATCTTACAAAGTCACACAGCTCTTCATTTCCCATAACATCCCAGATACCATCGCACGCCAGGATGATGAACTGATCGTCTTCTTCTGATCTCTCGATTTCATAGACTTCAGGCTCGGGTGAGACCAGCTGTTCTGTAGGACCTTTCCCATGGACACATTTGTAATCAAAGTCCCCAAGTGCCCTTGAAACAGCAAGGGAGCCGTTCACACGCTGAATCATTACGGAGCCACCTGCATTCTGTATGCGCTCCTTCTCCAGCGGATTGCTCGGTTTGTGATCCTGTGTGAAGAAGTGAACCTTCCTGTTTCGACAAAGCAACCCTCTCGAGTCTCCACAGTTGATGAAGTATGTGTGTTGGGGGGAAATCATGACACCCACAGCTGTTGACCCACTTCTGTCTGCGCCATGTTTCTTCTCCGAGATGACTCTCATGTGTTCATCAATTTGCAGAAAACCTGTTCTGATGCCGCTCTTTACACTTTCCACAGATGGTGGCCCATCTGGCCCTTTAAAATCCTGGTTGCTCGTGATGTGATCTAATAAATGCTCACAGCAGTACTTGGCAACCTGTGATCCAGCGTGCCCATCATACACAGCAAAAAACGACCATCCATCAAGTCCGTTTGGCAAACCGATCACGGCCGTGTGTGCGTCCTCCATCTCCACGCGCCAGCCCTGCATGCTGCTCAGGCCGTAACGGAGCCCGTTCCCTTGCCCCTGGGCATTATGCTTCTCCATCTTTGGCTTGTCTAAAAATGCTCCCATGATGACCTTCCTTCAGTTCTGCAAGGAAGGAAGAAAAAAAAAAAAAAAAAAGAAAAGGATTATTAAGATATTTCCTTGTTTGAAAATCCTACTGGAAGTTGTTAAATAATGGCACAAATAATGTTAAGATGACAAAACACCAGAGCTACAAAGCTAAGATTTTTCTGTGTCTCGAGTCAAATCTGCATTGCTTTCATCTAATTTAAACAAAGGCACTACTACTAGCTGAAATGCACTTTTCCTATTTTTGTATTTTCAGCTGTTTTACTTGAAAAATTTATATTCCACTATCATTCATGGTTCTGACAAAAGCCTCTAATATAAGTATGTATGAAATCAGTTTCAAAGAGGACTTGTTCACTGGCACACATCTGAATGGCTGTTCCCTGCGATTACTGAGCCATGAAAGAGTTCAATGTTTCCAGAACAGTGGCATTCCCTAGATCCCTACCTGCTGGCCACAAATTCCTGCTCGAACTCTGCTTTCCTCATAGTGATGGGGAAGTGAAAGCAAACTGATTAGCTTTTCTTTTAGGGGGGCAGATTCAGGGGGGTTTGGTTTGTTTGGTTGGTTGGTTTTTTTCAAAACAGATAAATGATCTCAGTAACCAAGATGATGCCAGAGTCTGTGTAAAGGAAAAAGCAACACTGGATAATCTAGGAGCAGGGCTGGGAAGGAACAGAGCAGCTGTCCCTTTAGGCAGCAGCAAGCCATTAGTTTGGCTCAGCCATCTTGTGAAAGCTCATCCTTAGATTTTCAGTTAAATTACACAGCAAGCTTCTCAGATGTCTGTGCTGCAGATTTACTTAAAACCTTAATGTATTCATGCTTCACTGAAAGACAACTGCCCCTAACAAGTCTGAGGAAATCTGTTTGGAAATAAAATCGCATGTATTGTAAATTCATGTGTGAATCAAGATTCAAGCCAGACCAATACACTGCACACCCTCTCCTCCTCCACCTCCTCATTGGGATGTGATGCAGCAAATATTTGTGCTTAAGAGAATAAGAGTTATATTTGCAGGCAGCGTCAACTGACTGGTTTATCTTCATGGCTTTCACACCCTAACCATCCAACCCACCCTTCTAATCCACATCGGGTTATTTGTGCATTCATTATTAAAAAACCATACAAAATAGGTCACACATTTTACATACTTGCAAATTGTGCCCTGGGAAGCATCAAAGACTCTGCAAATCACTGTTATACAATGCAAGGTAATGGACAGGATTATGAGCTTTTCTACTTGAAGACAGCGGGCAAAAATTAACTGTGAGAAGGGATTCTGAAGCACATTTTACCTGAGGCCCAACTAAGCAGCTGCACTAGCAGAAAAATCAGTACACCAGGGGCTTTAGAAATGTTTAACTTGCATGTGGAATATATTTGACCAGTTTTCTAAGTGACCACATCACTTTTTGATAACATCACTTTCTAATGCAATACAGCACCAGCTATAAGTGACACCATACATCCAACAAAGCTTTCCACATAGCTTTTTTCCAGCCACTATCAACCTTTCTAAAACATCTGTGTTAGAATAAACAGCCAAGAAATGTTTATATTTGATCTCACCACAACAGTGATTCAAATGTGAGGCACGGGGACTGGTTATACACTCTCTGGCTCACATGCTTTGTTAACAAAAACAAAACACATACTTCAGCGGTATGGAGATGGCAGCAGCAGCAATACACCTCTGCTTCCTCTCACCCCAAACCCTGCTCTCAAGTTCTGTCTCTTCTCAAGCAAACACGAGATATTGATGCCCAAGCAAACTGTAACTAACCAACAAAACAGAGTGTGTACTGAGCGTGTCTTGTGTCCCAGCACATGCAGGAGAGGTTCACATTACTGCAGTTGCTAGGAAAAAAATATGACTTAGACTTTTTTATCTTCACATGCAACTCTACTGAAGTCAGAGTGATCAAAATAATTACAGAATGCTGCTACACATCACATGGGGAATTATTTTGCAGAATACTACTTTTTATTCGTTCCACGACAGCAGCAGAGTTTAACACCTCACACTTTTTTACTGTCAAAGAGATCATAAAACAGAATGAAGATATTCAATTATTTCATCTTTAGAGCTCAAAAAGCAGAAACTGCCCTGGCAAATACCACATTTTCGTGAAGTATTTGACATTATTGGTGTGTTTGAAACAGAACAGAAAAGATTAAGAACAGGATACAGTTAAACTGACCACAAGCACTGTCAAAATTTGGACGTCAAAACTGGCAGTGTTCCTTCTGATCTCTCACCTTACTAAGTACACAAGATCCAGAGTTGTGCTTTGTAAGCAGTCTGTCCTATTTAGTAGTTTATCATGTAAACCCCAATAAAAATACACACAGACAGGCCACATGAAGTCTTAACAACTCCTACAGAACTGGCAGAACACTTCCAAAGTTAACAAATCTACTCTCCATTTAAAAACCACGTTGCCTCATCCCTCCCCAGAAGGTAACCTGAAAGCTGAGGCTCTTCTAAATTAAGCCTTGCAGGTGAGATGTTGACCCAGGATCCTTCAAGGGTGTGAGTTCCCACCATGGATGCAAATACAAGCAGGCAGAAGTAAAACCACAATGTGGTCATGCAACAACCCCTTTGGAAATTATCCCCAGCCCATGGCATGAAGTCATCACCTGCAGAAACTGCAACAACAGAGTGCACTTGTCAGCCCTGCAACACTCCAGCCAATCATACTTCCACCAGAACTTCAGTTCTAAACCTGCAGGAAAGGAGGCCAAGTTTTCAAAATCCTCACTGTATCCAAAGAGACGGCATCATTTATTTGTGGATAGAATGAACATGTCAGGCTTTTAGGTTTTTCCTAGAATTTCAATTCTCATTCAGAAAAAATTGAGTCAAATATGACCAATCTCTGAATTCTTAGGAGTTGGAAGTCACCTGCTACTTCTCTCCCCACACCCTTAAGTGTGGTTAAAACCTGAAGAATTTAGAGTGTCTTGGTTAGGAAAAAAAATAATCTTAGTTTTAAAAGAAGGGACAGACACACACACAAAGACTGATGTAAGAAAGCCATGCCTCCTTCCTACTAAAAATACTTTTTAGACTTGTTTTTGAGTCCTTATCTACGGAAATATCTTTCACACACCAGTGTCTACCTAAATTACCAGTACAGTTTTTCATTCTTTGATGAGGTGCTTTGTGCACTACAGTGATTAAGTTGGAATGACACCTTTGGTTAAGCATTTAACTCTGTATGCAAATCTGATTAACCTATAGCAGTGCAAGTGCCCAAGTTACAGCACGACTTTGTTATGTAAAAACACTAGAGAGACGTCAGACCCAGAACACACTGCATGCACCATGTGCAATAAAGGAACAGATCCTGAACACAGCCTAACTTAGCCACTCTTTTTATTTCTTTAGTCATCTTTCTTAAGAGGAGTCCTCATTTTATGACCTTCATTCTCCAAATAATTTTACTACCCTTTCCCTTCTTAACCCAGCCACACATTTCTACAATCATGTTAGAAAACTGGTCTCGCAGCAGGAGATAGAACCAGTCCTCTACTCTGGAAGCCTCGACTTCTGGGATGCTTGAATAATTCACATGTGCTAAAGGAGAAGACATTCTTCCTGCTCCTATTAATGGCAAAGCAAGAGAAAATGCACTTTAATCATAAAGTTTAGTGGCAAAGATACACCATCCACTTTTATTTTCTTAGAGAAGGACCATTCTGAACAGTACTATAAGGGTGGTGCCTCATAAAAAGATCAGAGGTGCAACATTTTCTTCAGAAATGGCAACTAACACATCTAGCACAGCAAATGCCACAACAATTAGCCAAGCAAACTTCAATTTTAATCTAACATGATTTTTTTGTTTACCATCTTCATATCAGGGACTTGCATTAGTTTTATGTCCTAAGAAAAGAAGAGCTTTCTGCAGTCAAAGTTTCTGGATTTTGGCTCTGAAGAACAGAGAGGCTTCTGAGCAAAGCTAGAAGTGAAAATGGACCCCTGTGAACAGAAACAAATATGCAGGAGATGCATCTGTGAGTGCATTTAAACCCTGAGTTCTGAAACCCTGATTTTGTGGAGGTCAAACTGAAGGACAGCATCTACAACAAGTGCACGGAGAACTCAAGCTGCAGTTTGCAGACTGCAGGAAAAGCAAGAATACTGTACAGGGCCTATAAAAATCAACACAAGTAACAAGACCTTGGATAAAGCACAAGAGTGCCAAAATTCAAAGGACTGCAGCATTAGAAACAAAATTGAAATAATGAATGGAGCATGCCAAAGAGTCAGTAGCTAAAACTCCTTGAAAATAGACACAACTGGAGAACAGAGTGGCAAAGAAAAGGAGAGTAATTAGTATACCAGACCATGGACAACCAGGGACAACCACAGATACATCACTGGAATGCATGAAATCTCTTTGCCCCTTCATTTGTTCCTCAAATTGTGCTATCCAGGCAGCACAACCATAATGCCCATTCTGATACACTGGAAAATAAATTTTACTGTTTTGGTATTTGCTTATTGATTTGCTTGAAGGTTCAAGTGAAGGTAAGTCCTACATTGTTCACAAAGGACAGTTAATGTAACTCCACATACCTCTATAAAAATACAATTTATTTTTCCAAGGAATTTGGACAAGGATTTGATCGTTTCGTCCAAGAAAACTAACCACCCCCATCTGAAACTTGTACTTCAACAATATGTAAATTAATAATCCTCTTAAAACAATGTGCAACTTGTATTCCTTCCACTAGGATAAGCTGCTTATATGAACCACACTGAAGTCACAGGCACTTGTTCTAACTAAGCTGAGAAATACCCCCATACTCCAATTTCCTGGAACAATTCTCTCAGTGACATTACAACCCGTGTGTTGTAATGAGCACCATAAAGAAAGATTACAACCTTTACTTGAACTGCAGGACACAGAGCAAGTCACCAAATTATACAGACTGCTACTGAATAGAAAAAGGGCATTTGTTCAACTTCAACTCCAGCCTGATCCGCAGAATTTTCCC